AAAAAAAAAAAAAAAAATTCGTCAATTAAAATAATATTATTAGTAAAATTAATCAATACATAGTTTCTTTAATATTTTGAAAGTGCATTGAGTTCATTTGTTTTTCATTGACGTAATAATTGAATATACTTGAACTGAATTTTTGAAGCATAACATTTATTTCTCTTAACACTATATCATATAACAAAGTGTATTCGAAATACATTACTTATTGTCAAATCTGTACTTGTTAAACAATAATTGAATTTGATTCAATTCGGGCATGTCTCATTTTCGTTAAAATTAAAATTCCCGTGTTCCGAAAACAAAAGTTTTCACAAAAATAAGAAAATAATGGAAGGTTCACATTTCCATCTATACCTTTTATAATTTTTTTAACTGAATCTTCAAATAAAAAAAAAACGAACATATCGCGATGTAAGTACTCTAGTTTTCTGATTATAAATTGACAAATTTCGAGTTACTTGTTTATCAAGGGCTGAAATCTGTTTCAACTTTTTTCTAGTTTTTTTAATCGTAACTAAAAACGCATACGTCGACAACCGATTTCCAAATTCGAAACCGAAACTACTATTTTTAAAAGTCGAAACAGAATCTATTCATGTTTTTAAACCGGTTTAAAAACCTTAACTGAAATCAATTATTATTTAAAACCAAGACTCAAAACCACAAACAAATCAAACGGTTAAGTGCCTAATGTTTTTACATGTTTTCTAATGGTAAACATGACGTTCTTTACAATGCAATAGCGTATTATGTTGTATCTATAAAATTGAATGCATAGTACTAAGTAACATTACTAGATTAGATTTAAAATATAGAAAATATAATTTTATCTTTATTATTATAATAATTCTGAATCCAAATATCTATACTAATAGGTTTTTAATTTTATTTTAAAATCTATTTAAAAGAAGAATTATAAGTGATTTTTATTTTATTTCAAATCTTGAATAATTTGATAATTAGTTGACATTCTAATTGATTTCCTATTTGATTATCTTTTCCGGTGATCTGAACTATAAATCGATATAAAATTAATAATTTAATGACAATTATATTACACACACTTGTTCTTTCCAGTGTTTGAAAAATCCGTCGACACACTAACCAACTGTCCCATCAAGAAGAGAACAGCCATTGAACTAGGATCTCATTGCCATTAATAGTTTGCTTAAACATATAAAAATAATTAAGATAAAAATTGTTGTGAAAATATTAAGTTTAATAATTTTGTATTAGAAAGACAAAAAATATTAGATTACCTACAAAAATAAAACTGAATGTTTGTTTTCGTTAGTAATATTCAACTTGTATTTTAAAATTGACCGATAAACTTAAATATGTTTTCTCTACTTGTCTCCTTACAATAAAAATGCTGACTGGTGTATAATATTTAATATAAAAAATAAAGAATATGTATTGGTTAATTTTTTAAACATTTTATAACCTAGTCGTAATTTTAATATAGTTCACATTTATTTTCAGAGGAAAATTTGATACATTTGTTGGTTCTCGGAGAAAATCTAACAGTAATTCGAAATCAAGTAATGTATGTAATTATTCAATTGATTTATATAATAAAACTTTTTTTAAATGTCTTTCAGATACGACTGTAGTGACTGATTCAGATGGGAATGTTGAATCAGAATCTTCATTAATTGTAAAATTAGATGATACAGATGTAACAAAGTAAGTAGATATTAAATTATGATATTGTACTGTCTTAGTTTTTGTTAATTTTTTTTTTATTCGTACGTTTTCAGCTTAAATTCAATTTTTAAAGAAGAAATTAAAAAACCTCCTGTTATATTAGCCGACATCGATCTCACGGCATTGTATAATAACTTAACTAAAATACAACATTTAGAAGATGTAAGATCTATTATTTACTTGTTATAGAAATTCAATTTTTCTGCATAAAATATTCTTTATTATATCTCTTTATTAGTAAAATTCGAATATAATACTTCCGGTTTTTATGTTACTAACAAATTCTAACGTATTTTTTATTTGTTTTTAATATCTTGAGTTAGTTCTAGTATATTAAAATGTTATCAGTTTATTTCGTCTAGGATTTTAGTTGAAAGTCTGTTTTATGAAATCAATACGATAATTTGATTTTTTAATTTATTTTCGAGATAATTTATAATTTATTAAAAAGGTCTAACAGGATTGACTAATTCAACTCATCCAATAATTATTTTTATTTATTTGATGAACAGGTGATTGGGAATGATCGAACTAATTTAGATAAAATGATACAAACTCATGGAAAATTGCTAGCATCCAATATAAATTCAAACAATTGAAAAATATGTTGTAAATTATTTTCGGGTAAAATTAAATAACAATGTATCTGTGTATCGTTATTTTAATTAAATGTTTAGTTTCTATATAAGAAGTGTATATCCTTGATTGGTTTATCCAGTGACAATGTGGCTCAACATTTTAAGCGCATGTCAACATTGATAATTTCAGATTATGTATTTTAATGAATTACATAATTTATTTTTAAATGAATAAATTTACTTGAACTATTTTTATATTTTTAAACAATTATATTTATATAGTACAAAAACTACTATTAGACGTTTTTGAACTATTTATTATACATTGAGTAATTAATTGAATGATTTTAAAAGGAATTANCTATTTATTATACATTGAGTAATTAATTGAATGATTTTAAAAGGAATTATTTTACTTTTTTGAATTTGCTTTGAAATGTGTGTTATAACTAGAATCAAATTAATAAAAACGAAAAAAAATATGAAACATTCAAATATAGTTCTAAGGCTTTTGGGTAATTCTATTAATAGAAATAAAAAAATAGAGTTGTGATAAATTTTAATCGATCAACACTTTTTGTTTAATCTTAACATAATTAGAAATAATTAGAATATTTCTATATTAGCAATTCCGTAAAATGGAAATTTAACTAACAAAAGTAAGTCCCATCAAACCTTATACAGAGTGGTTCACTATGTTTTGACAAATTCAATAATTTTTGATCCAATTAATATTTTACGTTTTAAATAATTATTACACCTAAAAACTATAAAAATATAAAATATAATAGTCTTACAATTTATTAAAAAAAAATTTTAAGTTTACGAAAAGTGTAAAAAAGATAGACATTTTGTAGAGTAGATTTTAAGGAAAAATTTGATAAAAAAATATCTTATTAATTTTCAGTAGTAAATTTCCTACAGCATTTTATAGTTTATGAAATTTTTGATTTTCGTATTTTTTTTTTTTTTACAGTATCAATCATTGGAATGTATATTGAGAAAAGGACTGAAGAAAATAAAAAATTTACACTAAATAATAGGTATGCCACTTTTTCTATGCAAATTTTCATGGAAAAAAAGAAGTTTTTTTCTGTCTTTTTCTCGATACATATTTCAATGTTTGTTTAATAATTGTTTTTAATAAATTGAAAAAATATTATGTTTTATTTTATTTTTATAGTTTTGAGAGTAATAATTGTTTAAAAGAAAAATCAATATAAAACATTTAATACTGAAGATAGTCTTTAAAATAGATTTGTTAATATTATAAGTAGACAATACCATTATTAAACTTAAGAAGGCAAGATTATTAATAGATGGAGGTTTTTTTCTTTCACTTTGGATTATGAAGATAAGCTAGAATTTGAATAACAAGCCAGATAAAAAAAACAAATTCTTTTGCAAAGCTAAGTTGGAATAATTTAAAGTAGTAAGGAATAGTCATAGGTGTAGAGTAATCAATTTCTTTTAAATAATTCTGATTTTCCTCCTCTTAAAAAAAAGAGAAGAAATTAAAAAAAAATATATGTTCATATAATACTGAAAGTCTTTTTTCGGGAAATGTGTTGTCCCGAAGCGTAGTATGGTAAAGTGGACACCATATTTACTGGTAAACTCTAGTGTTAAACTATACCTGCCTTTATAGGCTCACAGATGGGTGACCATACGGTCGTTTTTACAGTAGCAAATGTACTATGTTCCTAGAAAACAACCAGAAACCACTTCATTTAAATCTTTCCCCAGTAGAATGCTAATTTAGTTTATTATTATTACTATTAGAATTATAAATGGGTAATATTTATTTCTAGCAAAAATATATGCATAAGTAAAATATATATATATGTAGTTGAAAATTAATAAATACATTTTTTTTTTAATTTCAAGATAATTATTTTGATGTATTATTTTTATCAACAAAATTTGAAAGTTGGCATTCCTACCTGCGTCACTTATCTACTCATGGTACTTAAATATCTATAAAAAAATTCTAAAAAATATGCTTAGCTTGCAATGGAAGTTAGGATGACGTTTACAATACACATTTGAGTATACATTTGCGTGCCTAAGATTCTGTGTAATAATTTTTGGTTCTCAAGGCATAGCCACACACTGGTCTCCATTTTCTAACTTTAAAAATACTGTCTCTACCAAATTAAAATTTTAAATAATAAACTGAAATGTTGTTATTATTTCGACAAAACACTGTTTTAAAAAACAATAATGAAATTGATACCAGTTTATGTTTTTTGTATAATTAATACATATTCCTATCATCATTACTGTGTAACTAGAATCAATTGTACCATAACACAATTAATAATATTAAATAATACGAGAAAAAATAGTGACTCTCTTGAAATCAATACGTACCACATTCAAAAATAAATAAATTAAACCCTTAAATAAAAAAAATATTAGATTTAAAAAAAGTCTATGGTGTTTAATGAATTAAAACTTGTCTTAATACTATCGACCACTCTGTATGTACATTGATGTATTATAAACATTGCATACAAACAAATGCTATACCTCCAAGAAGAAATTTTGAATTGGATGTGCTAGAAAAAAACATATATTACACTACCCCTTGTCTTCGTATTTTACATTAGGAAAAAATTACTGTTTATTGCTACTACCAGTTGTGTACAGTGAACGAATCAAACTTGGAAATGATAGATTACGGGTTTGATAAGTACAGTTATTGGGCATTTATGAACAAACACAGAGGTGGGGGCTATCAGTGTATGTTTCAATGTAGGTAAACGATGGTATGAGCTCATAACAAGACCTAAGTGATCTAGTACGTTGATACATGTTATGAGCTTGTACGTATGTTTATGTGTTTAATTGTGTAAGAGGAACGTGTGTGTGTGTGTTCAGTAATGTTCGTGTTCTCGTAGTACACTGGCATGGCTATTCACATGTGGTCCTTTGACCGGCCGGCTCCGTTGTCACGTGTTTCTTGGTACTGGTTCGAGGCTGTGTTGATCATCGTAGTATTGTTTTCACCGTGTACATCTCCAGTCAACGGCCAGTGCATTGAAAAGGTAACTTAAAAACAAAAATGTCGATGGAAAATTATATTTATATCAATAATTTGAATGACACCGAATTTGTGCACAAATTGCACCCGTTACACTCTGTAAAAAGTTGCTAGTAAAATGTTTATCGCCGGATATGCGATAGTCACCACGCCTCCAAGATTTTCTATTGTATACAGACCTTTTATTCGTCAATTATTAAACTTAAATCAGTGCAATAAAAGTTAATTGAAGCTTCAAAGAACGTGCGGGTCAACGTTTCTGCGACCAAATCGATTAAAAACGTCTAAGACAATTTTTTGCGTCTGTAAATAATACAAATATTTCAAATACTGTTAACGCTAAATAATTTAAAATTGTTGTGGTAAAAAAAAAATTTTCAGTACTGTAAACATAATCAGAATCGCGTCCCAGTAGACACTAGCGATAAACGCGAACGGTTGGAGCACGACCTTTGTTCTAATTTCATTGGCATTTTAAGGACATTAATTACAACTGAATTCGTGTTGTGTTAAATTTCAATGAATTTAGAGTGGAGAAAATACGTTTTCAATGATATAATTTATTTTTTATAATGTACACCACTTGATTTTACAGTTCTGAGGCATGTTAAAAACAGAATAGCAGTATAATAATAGGTAGACCATCTAAATCAGTTATAAGATCTCCTTTACAAGATGGACCTGAAAAAGGATATCATTATTATTTCCCTTTGGGTTGGCGTAATATCTTGTATAGACAGTTTATATTAGAGCGCTGGTCTATACAAGAGGTAGACTTTGTGTTGAACAGTGAGGTTATCTAGGTCATGTCAGTTATCTCCGATCTCGGGTATACGTAAGAATTCTAAAAATTGTTTGATCACTTATTAATAAAAATTGTATTATTATTATATATATATATATATATATATATATTGCATTTGCCAGCGAAATCTTTATTTATTTAATGAAAAACCCCGTTCGATACTCGTCAAATTAATTCAAATTTTCTTAAAGTATTTATTTATGTCCAACAATAGTTTTGTAATTAATTATTTGTACTTAAATTATTAAATATATACATACTACTGCCCTTCTCTGAAGTGTCAATAAAAAAAATAAAAGGACCCTATAATTTTGATCTGTGATTATATTACTGCGAATGTCAATATATAGAATGTGCTTTTGAACTGTATGAGGTCTATGCGAGTTAAGTATGTAAAACATATTAGCGTAATTTGTATGAGAACTATGGACATTTCAGTTGTCATAAAAACATTTATAATCCTCACAAATGAATACATTTTTTAATATGGACAGGGTAAATAAAGCAATGTTGCAGAGAAGCTCCTCTTCACGATTATTATCAAAAATTATAAAATGGAGAATAGGGTTATAGCCTTTACTAACAAATTTTCCAAGGTATATCTATGGTGAAATATGTCAAAAATTCTTTCTGGTAGCATACAATAATAACTTGAATTTTTTTAGTTTTGTAATTTGAATTTATCGCGGGAGAAATATTTAAAAGTATGAACTTCAATGTAAACAAATCGAACTTGAAGTAATCCTTTTTTCATTATTATAATTGTGTGTATGATAAAAGATACTGTTTTATCATATAAACAACGATTTTGCCTTTCAATTTGCAATCTTAATCTATAGGGCAATGGAAGTTCAAAAGAGAAATTTAAACAAAATATAAATAAGTCATTTAAGATTAATAACGCGTGACAGAATTGTAATAGTGCAGTATTATGTTTTGTGTGTAAGGATTTCTTTGTATTGTTCTGCAACGTATTTTCAGATTTGTAACGATGTAGATCCCAATAAGTTGAATGTCCATCTAATAGCGCACACGCATGACGATGTTGGATGGCTTAAAACTATAGATCAATATTATTATGGAAGTAAGTAATCGTATATTGAACATTTTATTTTATAGAAAATAATCTGACCATTTTACACAGTATATTTATCTAATGTTTTACTTATTTTAAACTCAAAATCGTAAAATTCAAGAAAACACTTGTAACAAAACTTTACTTAAGTGTAGTTTTTAAGTATTTTATCACATGCATATATAATGCAACTTTTTTCAGTCGTATACTAAGTTTCATACAGAGTTCAATTAACAGGGGCATAAATGAAAAAAAAAATCAGAGGACTCTATTCACAATATTATTTTAAGCATTCTTTTAAAAGTACCAATTTAGAGGTTGTGAGAGGGCTCCGGCTTTTAATTTTTTTTTACAATCATTATATTATTATACAAGACACTGAAAAGAGGGACAAAAAAAAAATGCTGTACCCTTAATTTCTTATTTTTTTCAGATATACATTAAAAGTATGTTTATCTAGTGTATTTCATAGTGATGTCCCTTGAAATATCAAAATGAAATAATAACGCTTAAAGATTGAGTAAATGACCTATGGTACATAAATCATTACATGTAAAAATCTTTTAAAAGCACATTTGGATTAATGATTTTTTAATCCACAAATATTGTCTAATTAGATAATAGACTTATGAATACTGAGTATATTTTATCAAACAATATCTCGTAACAAGAAATAATTGATTATCAGATATAATAAATAATAAATAATAAATAATTTTTTTTTTAGTTTCGATGCGAAGCTGTGGTTTTTTTTTTTTTTATTTCTGTAGCCATTTTTTCTCAGCTCTCACCGAACCGATTTCTTTCAATCATACGTCAAATATCTCAAATTGAAGACATTGCCTTTAAAAATAGAAAAAATTTCCCTTGTCCTCTGTAAATGAAGAAAATCCCTAAAACAATTAAAATTATTTAAGTCGATAAGTTATTTTTTAAATAGAAACCTTAGAAAATTTTCTTTTATTTGATATCATTTTTTTGATTCTGACCCGGTACCTATCGCATACGGGGGATTCATAATAGCAACTCTTTTTACAAAAGTTCGATTTATCAACTTAACTTTTGAAAATGTTCCGGAAATACTGTGTCCATTAAACATATGTTAAATTAAAGCTTATGTTACGTACTAAGTTAAAGAAAAAAAAATTGCTCTGACGACCTATCTTCTATGTGCAGAGGGCAGTCGAAGTTGAACAAAAAATAGGTGTTAATTTTACTTTTGGAATAATCCGCCAATTTTTTAAAATTTAACACTATCTGTTTCATACTACAATTGTGAATAAATTATTGTTAATAATAATTAATTATAATATTTTGTATAATAAATAGTATCTATCACTATCACGTACTATTACGAAAAGATATTTTTTAAAGAAAACTTTTTCACAACTTATTAGTTATTTTGAACAAAAATATTTACGTTTCAAGAGGCTTTTTTAACATTTCACTATTTTTAAGCACTTTAAAAGGTAAGGTGCTGAGTCTTCTTATGTCTTCAGACTTTAAATTTAATTAATAAGTAGGGAAAAAATTTCCGTTGTTCACATTGGTGTTGTAATTGACATGTTTTCTTACATTTTTAGCTACCTATATAATATATTACTTGTTAATAGACAATTACATAATATATTTTCATTATAATGTTAAAATCGTAAGTGCACCTCAGTCAAACACAGGAAAAATTATACAGGGTGTACATCAAGTAAGGAAACATATAAATTGTTATAAACAATGAGAACAAAAGAAACTCGTTTCCTTACTTACTGAACATTCTATATATGTTATGTGTATTGTTCATTTTAAAATTAAGTATTTTTTCCCAAAATATTTAAATCATTATTATTTGTTTGTCCTTAATGTTTATTTTAGAGAAATTTTGAAATATTTAATGTTTTTAAAGGTAATAAAGTCCATGCACCATTCGGAGTACAATATATTTTGGATTCTGTAATATCTGAATTATTGAAAAATAAAAATCGTCGGTAAATATGCGTTATTCTATATTTTTAATTAGTTTTAATGTGCGCGAAATTTAATTTTAAAACTTAATCTTATATTATATTTTAATTGAAGATTTGTGTTTGTGGAAACGGCATTTTTATGGCGTTGGTGGGAAGAACAGGATGAATGGAATAGAAACACACTGAAGTCTCTAATAAAAGAAGGACGAATGCAGTTGTTACATGGTGGCTGGGTAATGAGTGATGAAGCGTTACCTCATTATTCTGCGCTCATTGATCAAATGACGTTGGGTCTTAAGTGAGTAATTAAGCATAAATGAATTTATAAATTAAATTAACAAACAAATAAATTCAATAAAATATTATGAATATGAATTAGATTTTAAACGAGTTATTGGTTTTCGATCAATATTTCCGTTTTGTTTTGGAATAAAAAGAAAACATCGCTCTAGAAACTAAAATAAACTTAAAGTAGATTTAACATTAAAGTTTTTTTTACCCGGATATTTCAAACCACTTAAACTATCAGTAAATTAAAAAAAATTCCCTCAATTGAAATTGTTGGATTTATTGAATCAAATGTAATTAAAAAAAAAAATAACGTTTTTAATCTCTGATGTTTTATTAGAAAACAGTTATTATGATAACCTGGCGAATTAAGATAAACAATTGGGCCCGTATTGAAGGATGGTTCAGGGCACAATAGCTTTTAACTTCAAAAATAATTTTTAAGGATCAATCTCAATATTAATTAGGGGCCTACAATTACAATCACATAAAGTCAATCAACTTTTTTGTACCAATATTGGTAGTTTGTCATAAAAAATATTATTTTACGAAAATAATCATGAAAACGAAAGATTTTACTAAATAATAGAATTAATAAATTAACTTAAATATTAAAACCTATCTTTTATAATCTTAATTTGAATAAATAAGATTAGTTGTGTCAAAAACTTATGTAGAATATAACATAATTTTGCGGCGGAAATAATCAAATCAATAATACAAGTGACATTTATTAAAATAGATTTAATTGAGGTAATTTAGTCAGTCATTGTTTTAAAGAAAATAATTGACTGTATTTCTTTCAATACTTAATACTGTATGTCTAAATAAAAAACCAACACAGTGAGGACGTGGTATAGCTGTGAGAAATCTAAATGACAGTGATTAACAATATTACCATAAAATGCTTATTTGCTACTTTGTTAAATTTCACCATAATTTGAGTATTTGTAATTTCTTAAATAATTTATATGATTATATCAATTGAAACAAGTATATCCTAAGTATAGATTAACTAAAAATTTACACGAGTGATTTACTTGTTTTATTATTTAACGTTATATTAAATTTAATTTCTTAAATTTTGTTTAAAAAATATTGCACCAAAAAATACTATAGTACATATCAGTGATAACTAATAAGTACAATAGTGCTAAATTAAATCAAATTAATTATGAAAGTTACTTATTAAAAATTAGTTTTATGAATACGACAAACACAGTGTTATATAATAACCTATCGAAATTTTGGCTTCACTAATTATATTCTCATAGTAAATAAATCGAAATGTTTATAATTTTTAAATAATAACGTGCGGTAAATTTTTTTAAATTTAGAACAAGTTTCAATTGAGATTTTCCAGAATATTTTTTAAAAATTTAAAATTAAATAATATTTTGGTAATAACTGCGAATTTTTTAACATGCCGATTTTTTATTGCAGAACAATATATGGGAAATAATATTTTTTTAACTTTATAATTTACTTCAGATGCTTTATTTGATACACGTTAAGAGTTGTTAAACATTCTGAATCATTTTCAAAAATTGAGTCAAAAAAAAAATTTAAATGCGTATGAAGTCTCTTTCAAACTCTTCCTGTACTTGGGTTTTTTTATAGATTTAAAGTATACCAAAAGAATGTTTAAAAAATGTTTACTTCCGTTTATATTGAACTTATAGATATAATTAGGATCATTGCTAAAAATAAAGTTCTAGCAATTCAATTAAAATGCAGAAATTTTTTTTTAAATGCCATTTTTTGGTATTGAGATTTTTCAAATAATAATAATTTTTTTTTAAATTTAAAATTTGGGCGGGTTTTTTTAATTTTTTATGAAGATAGATTCAACTTGATTGAAATTGGGTTCTTTTTACGTATAGACTAACAAACAATGAGAGCTGAGAATTGAAAGAGCTGACAGACATAAAAAAAAAACATCATGGTGTATCAATATATTCTGAGTTTTGCATCGAAGCTAAAAAGTAATAAAAATAATTTAAGAATTGATTATTATAATTGTAATTGTGTAATAATTAAAAAAGAAAGAAAAGGCGAATTAGGGCTAATATTGAATAAAAAAAAAAGTTTATTGGAATAGTAATGATTATAAATAAAGTAAATTAAATAATATTGTAAGAGAGAAACGATAATTCATAATAGGAAGCTGTTCTTACACAGGGTTTTTTAAGTTCAATTTAATTTAATTTATAAAATATTAATACTATTAAAAATTGATTAAAACTATTCCGAATAGTAATTTTAAGCTCTTACTAAGTTCAGATTTTGTACCAGTGTAGCTGCTAATTATTAGCAGTATTATTATTATTTATCTTTTATGTATAAAATAACTATAGTTTAAATACATTGTGTATTATTTTAGTTAAGATTCAAAAATTTATTTAACATCGGTAAACTAAAATTATCAAAACTTCTATCTGAAATTGTTGGGTTGTCACTAATACATAAATGTTAACATTCAACGATTTCATTTTATGAAAATTACCTTATTTAAAAAAAAAAATTGCAATTCCTCTAATTGAAAATAGTAGGAAACAATTTTTATATTTTTTAAATTTTTAATTAAATATTAATTATTAATCAAATATGATAAATAAAACTTAACTATTCTTAGAGTATTGATTGGATATAAATGAAGGGTAGAGGGGAAAAACGGGAGTCCATTTTTATAAAAATTTTCAGGAGAGCGAAAACAAAATTATAAATTTTTATCTTTATAATTGCTATATTTTTTTACAGTTATATCACGACTGTACTGTGTTATTTTAAACTGAAAATTTAAATTTGATGTTAGGTTTCTCAACGACACATTTGGAGAGTGTGCAAGACCTCGAGTGGCCTGGCAAATAGATCCATTTGGACATTCAAGTGAGGTAGCAGCTGAATTTGCACAAATGGGATTTGATGGTTTAATCGTAGGTAGAATTGATCACGAGGACATTGCAGTTAGGAAGTCTGAGAAGAAAATGGAAATGTTATGGAGGCCAGATGTAAATATTGGTAAATAATAAATAAAATATTATTTTTAGATAAATTAACATTGAAGTTGTTAACACTTTATGTACGATACATTTTTAAAAATTTCAAAAAAAGAAATAGAAATACATTTTTTATAGCATTAATAGTGTCCCGTATATACTTTTTGCTGTGGTCACATGTTAAACCCCAAAGAAATACAAAAATTGGTCAAAAATATTGACGTGCATTAGCAAAATGAAGTTGTCCATTATTAAAATTTCTATACATTCAAGTGACTATGAAATCGTTAAAACAGTTTATAAATGTTTTTATAACGACTAGAAAACGAATTTATACGTTTTATATATTATTTCCAAAAATGTCAATTTTCTTCTAAGTCAATTTAAATCATCTACTTCATATATGTTTCAAATTATCAAATATTGATAATTTAATGTTTAAGTATTTGCTTTCTAAAATTTTAATTTTTATGTTTCTAAGGAAAAGATGGCGAACTATTTACAAGTATTTTATATAACTTATACGTGGCACCAGAAGGATTCTGCTTCGACGCATATATGTGCAATGACGACCCAATTTCAGACAACCCAAAACTTCACGGCTATAACGTGAATGCAAAAGTAAAGCTTCCGATTAATTTAAAGTTAAAAAAATAAACAAAAAAATTTTATAAATTAAAATGATATACCAACAAAAACTATAACTTTTAATCTACTTGATATTTTTTATGCATTCAATAATAGAAATTTTTATAAACAATGGAAAAACTTTTTCATTATTTTTGAACACACTTTATAGGTAAAATAATTATTCGAATCAAATTATATACCTAAACTGATTTTTTTTATACAAGAAAAGATTTTCAACTTACTTATTTTGCAAAAACATTCCAAATAAAAACTCCTTTCAAAATTGAAAAAACTGAATACTTTTAGTTATTATACTAAATTTATATGAATGATAAAAAAATGCATATAAAATAAATTACTCTAAATTATTATGAATGTATAATTATACAATTTATAAATATCAAAAAGCTTAGTAAATCTTTAAAAAGTTCATAGTATTAATATTATTAATAGTTAATTATGTGTTTCTCGGGAAAGGTAGAAAACTTTGTAAATCACGTACTAAAATATGCAGCAGCTTATAAAACGAATAATATAATGATGCCGATGGGAGGTGATTTCACTTATTCAGTTGCATCAGCTTGGTTTCGAAACATGGATAAATTAATAAAGTAAGGATCTTATAGACCATGTTGTCATTCTAAATTCTATTTTACCCTTTTGTATTGAATTTTATTTTGCAATGCACATAAAATTTTTTTAATAAAAATAATATATAATGCTTAATTATTAATTTTTAACTACATTCAATGAATGCAATATGAAGACGCCTGATGTGAGTGTGAATGATGTGGGAGATCGTGTTAAGTGGAAGTTTAGGATAAAGGTGGCCGGCCCCAAGTAGTTGAGATAATACTAAAGAAAAAACAGATGATTAATTTTTAACTACATTTAATTTTTATAAATATCTTTTGCTGAATGTTTTTGAAATTTTTTGTTCAAAATATGTATCTTTAAACTGATTCAAGTAATAGGTTTAAGAAACACAAAAATAATTTTATCAATTGATCGTCGTCATTTGCAGTCAAATACATTATTAAAAAGTAATAGTAAAACTTAAAACAGCAATGATTAGCAGAAAAAACTAAAATAATTAAAATTAATGATGAATTTACTATTTCACTTCTATATGCAAGAAAGTTGGCTGAAAAGTTATAAAAAGTTAAAGTATAATTATAATATATAATTATAATTATATAACTGAAAAGTTATATATTATTTATATTTTAGAATGCATTAGCTACAAAAATAATCGTAGTAATAATAGTGTGGGTGACCATATAATGTCACATAACTTGCCTCTTTACTAGTTCCCTGGGCCATATTGAGGTTGTCAGGTTGACAGTCGGTGTGAAATTCTGATAAGTCGTTAAGGCAGAGTTTTTGATTAGATACAAAAATCATACGTAAAACTAGTTAATCGGTATTGATTTCGTTATGTCTTAAAGAGTATTGGTTAAGTATCTTTTATTTATCATGTTTAATAAAAATAAATGCATGAAATTATAAAAGAACTTACAAAATGAAATTATCTCCTTAGTCTCCATCCCCTGCTATTTGGGGTCAATTCTCTTATGATTTGACAGAATTTTTACACCGACTGTCGACCTGGCACAACTTCATTATGGCTGCATCAGCAAGTAAGAGGTCTGGGGATATGTCATTGTTCAAGTATTGTTAGCTATCTGGGAATCAACAGTAAACAGTGCAGCTGAACATCAGCGCTAAGGCGGCAGCTGAATGATTCTCCACTGCGCCACATCATGCGAAAATAGATTGATTACAATAAAAAAAAAATCAAATTTTTCAGGCTTATAAAAAATTGAATGAAATGGCATTAATAAAAAAAAGTATATATTTTGATTTAAGTTTAATTTAATGAGTTTTGATAATGTAAATGATAATATTCTGTTTTATCTTCCACTCGGATAAATGTAATTTAATTAATGATGGTTATTTACAGTAAATTATTTATAAGTTTGTTCATTTTTTTTAGATACGTTAATACAATGAAACCTGATATAAATGTATTGTATTCGACGCCTGAGTGTTATTTAAGAGCTTTACAAAACATTGAAAATGTCACATGGCCGCTTAAAGATATTGATGATTTTTTCCCTTACGCTCACGATGAACATTCGTATTGGACAGGATATTACACTTCTCGATCAAATTTGAAATTTATGATTTCTAAGGCAAACAACTTGTTACAGGCTAGTAATCAAATTATGTTCAATATTGAAATATTTTAAAAAAACCTCAAAATAGTTTTTCATAAATTAAATAGCCTGATGAATTTTAAATCTAAGTAGAAGATGAAGTAATTTTCTTAAGAACAAAACAAAATCACATTTTACTTCACTACATCATACATTTATTCACTACATTTATTACATAGTTTTTATTATGTAATGTTTTATTTATAATAGTTTATTTTATTTATTATGCAATTTTTAAATGTTATAGTAAGCAACATATTAGAAATCTATATCGATTTTATAAAATTTGATTATTCATTTATTTTTGGAACCAATCACTCAAAGTAGTCGATTGTTAACATAAAACAATAACCACGAAGGATAATTTTACGTTGAATAGGTGATAAAACAATTTAGTTCCGTATTAACACAAGAGCATGAAGAACAAGTTCAAAAGCTTTCTATGGTCGTAGCTCAATCGCAACATCATGACTCAATCACCGGGACAGAAAAACAACATGTGACAGACGACTATGCACTGTACTTGGATGAGGGCATAACCGATTCTCAAAAAGTAGTAACCGCTACTTACAGGTTAACAAAATTTAGTTTAATAATCAAATTCGTAATGATGTTTAAATTACACTTCATTTTACTATTATAATCATTTTTTTTTATCTTATAACGCGCGCAACAAAATTTCAATTATTTGTTATATTGTAACTTTTACTTCAAGGTTAACATTTTTATTATTGCGAAATTCTTATAAAAATAACGTGAAAAATGTACGAGACTAAAAAACTATTTTCATAATTGACAATAATTCAAAAAGTATACAAATATAATGTTCTATTGTTTCAATTTAAATATATTTTTTTTATGTTTAATTATAATTATACATCTTTAAGCTCATAAAAAATACATTGCCGTAACCATAGGGAAATACTTATTGATAAATTAATTCTTTATTAAATCAATGATTAAAAATCAAAACTTTTTCTGTTATTTAAAACAAATCATTTGTTTCTACGTTATTTATTTACAAACATATTTGCGGAAGTTTAATGTTTTGTAAGTAATTAAGAAAATTGAGAAAATAAATAAATTTGAACTTTGATGCTATGAATTTCACTATTTAAATCATTAAAAGAGTATTTTATAATAGGTTTTCATTGAGTTTGTATAATCTGTTTAACTTAAATCATAACAATAAAACTTTTTGTAATTTAAATAAGTTTATAGATATCGTATAATTTCATTTTACAAACTACAATATCTATATAAGAAATATTATAAGTTATTATTTATGACTTAGTAGGAATTTGAAGTGAATGGTTTGGGTGATTTGAGTCTATCGTCACAAAATATTTATTACAGGAAATGGTTTGGTAACGAATACCCTGAACAACGTTATTGTAAATGGCTCAATGTCAGCGATTGTGAAGTATCTGAAAGTAGCTCTAGATTTGTTGTTACTCTATACAATCCATTATCACATAACATTTCTTTGCCAATCCGAATACCAGTTAAATACGCCAAATATAAAATCACCGGGCAAAATGGTAATGCAAATGCGTCAGTAAAATATTACCCACTCATTTATATTAGTGTCAATATTAGTTGCCATTTATATCGTAATTACAGATGTTAACATCGAGCATGAATTAGTAGTATCACCCGGACAAATTTTCCGAGCTGCTGGTCGTACTTCAAATACCACACATGAGTTGGTTTTTTTTGCTAAAGAAGTCCCACCATTAGGCGTCAAAAGTTATCACATAGAAAAGCTCAATGATTTGAACACTCCACCATTACCGAAGCCTTACAACTCCTCGGAATCAGTGACTATTAGCAATGGGGTAACGTGCAAGTTGATAAAATACTTTACGGACCATTTATTTTAATATTGTTTCAATACTAAAATATTATTTTATGTTTACTTGTATCTATCAAAGAAATTAACCGTAAGTTTCAACGGTACTACTGGACTTATAGAACGTATAGAGAAAAATGGCGTCAATCATACTTTTCAGCAAAATTTTTTTTATTATGAAGCAATGAAAGGCTACAACTATAATGCTGATAATCGTGCAAGCGGGGCATATATCTTTAGGCCTGCTAAAAACCAGGCCACAGCTGTTTCCAATAAACTTGCATTGACTATTCATAAAGGTCTGATAACGTTATACTATTATTTCATAATATTTGACTTAAGATAAAGGTAACATTATAATGGTTCTTTAAATATTTTATTCGTTTAATATTTAGGAAGATATGTTAGTGAAGTACACCAGACAATCAGTCCATGGTTAAGTCAAGTTGTTCGTATTTATGACCAAGAAGAATCGATCGAATTCGAATGGTTTGTTGGGCCAATACCAATCAGGTAACCCATTAAATTTAGAAATCAGCGCGTCTTAGAAATTATACAAATTCACAAAATAACATTATAGTGATGATATGGTTGGGAAAGAAGTGATCACGAGATATTCTACTAAAATCGCATCTAATGGTACGTTTTACACTGATTCTAATGGTAGAAGATGGATGAAAAGGAAATTAAATCATCGTTCCTCATGGAATTTAACTTTAACTGAACCAGTATCTTCAAACTATTACCCCGTGTCAACAAGTATAGCAATAAGAGACTCATTTTATCAAGCAACAATTATAACTGACCGAGCTCAAGGTGGAACCAGTTTAGAAAATGGAACAATCGAACTCATGGTAAATAAATAAGTTATGCTTGATCAAATTTATGATTTTTTTAAATTGTTTTTTAACTTAATTTAATGATATTTTTATTTTATTTAAAAATCACTTATTACTTTAATGAAATATTTTAGCTTCATCGTCGATTATGGTACGACGACAGTCAAGGAGTTAGTGAGCCGTTGGATGAGAATCAATTCGGAGAAGGAATGGTATCAAGAGGAAAACACATTTTACATTTCAATGAACTCGACAAAGCTGCTAAAGTACACAGGCTCTCTGCACTCCATACAGTGTTGCAACCTGTTCTATCATTTGCTTCGACATCTTTGCCATCAAATGAATGGAATGCAAAATTCAATACCTCAGTATATTTTTACTTTAATAGTTTCAAATAGAAACTTTCTTGTAATATTTTATATTTTAGATTAGTTTATTGAATACTTCCTTACCTATTAACATCCATATATTAAGTTTGGAACATTGGAGGAAAAACCAATTGCTATTGAGATTAGAACATATTTTTGAAAAAGATGAAGACAGGTTTCTATCATTACCCGAAAATGTTAAAATTCAAGTGAGTAATATTTTTATTGTAACATATAATTTACAATTAATTACAGTATGTTATCTAAACATTTTTTTACAAATGCGCATTTATATTTGATACTGAATCAATTTTATAATTATTATGGTTTAGACTCAAATATAATCCTCGAATACTGATCTATTTTGACTGATAATAGAGTAAAAAGTTTCATACAAGTAGGTATTAAAATTCATATGTTTATAATTTCAGAGTTTGTTCAAACATTTAAACGTCGTAGACTATAAAGAATTGACACTTGGAGCAAACATTGCTAAAGAAGCTCTAGATCGATTTACTTGGAATCGTAATGATAAAACACAACTATCAACTCCAGATTCAGACTCATTAGACATTCTACTAACACCAATGGCCATAAAAACTTATTTACTGACAGTAAAAGCTCATTAATGTACATAAATATTTATTTTTTAATAACTAAACTATTATAAAAGATCAACAGTACATAAATAATCATTAAAATCTATAAAGTTAGTATATATTTTAGAAAAAATATTTAAAGAACTAATCATTAACATTATACTTTCATTATAATTCATTTTTATAAAAGATTGATCGAAAAAAAAATAGATAAAGCAAAGCGTACAAATATTATTAAAATTTTAGTGTTAGTATCATTGTAATATCATTAAAACCTTGAAGCCTGCATTTTTTTAAAGTTAGAACTTATTACAATTTGTTAGAAATTTCATTGTCTATTTTACAATTTTTCAAAACTCAAAAGATACAAACAATTTTAAAATAAAATTTTTGTTTATTATTACAAAAATGTTGACAAATACAGATATATTACAATTAATATAAATCCATTTTTTTTTTCATTAAAAATATTTATTCAATCAAATGTATTAAATGGATATCAAGTAAAATTTTCATAAATGTGTTTAAAAAAAATGAAAAATAAATAAAAATGTATGTTCTAAGTTTTTTAAGAATTGTCTTTCAGTGTCTGATTAATAAATGTACTAGTGGAAAATTATGTGAATTTTAGAAAATGACAAATATTATGGCGCTGGGCTAAAAAAATTTGATATCACATTTACACTTTTTGTTGAATCATTTAAAAAATAATCCCTCTATATTATTAAATGGTTATCATATGTTAAGAGATTCTTCCAGTTGTTAAAGTATAAAAATATAGTTTATGAATGAAATAACAGCATAATTTTACTCTTTAACTTTGTTTAAAAGATTGTATTAATGTTACCACGATGGTTTGATGTGATAAAAGAATAAAGACTTATTTTTATTATAATAAATCAATGGATTAAGATGTATGTACTTTTTATACTCAATTACAAAAAAAAAAACTCAGCACAGGGGGTTGCGGCACAATGGTGACGTGGCATAGTTGGATCAAGTATAATATCTGACAGTGATTAAAATCACTATAAAAAAAAACGCTTCGATGCAAATCTTTAGAAAGTGTTTAATTTTAAAAAATTGGTGGATTATTCCAAAACCTACATGATCAACTAGTTCCTTATTAATATCTTGAATGAAAAAGGGATTATTAAAAAATATTATTTCTCATGAAAAAATTGTGTTGATCCATACACTTTTGAATAAGTTATAGCATTATAAAGTTAAAAATGTAAAAAATAAAATCGAGAATTTTCACACGAAAATAGCATTCAGTAGCCATTTTCACCGTGAAGACAAAATTATCGTAACACAATAAAATAAAACGAGGTAAAGGTGTAAATGTGTAACTATGTAATGTGTATATGAAGATGAATATGAGGATGTGGTGCCTGCTGTCTAGGTATTCACGTGCGTGTTGTCGTACAGCAGTCACGGTGCTCGGCTGACACTCCGGGTTAGCTGTGGGTGTCGAAAGGCTGTTGTTATAGGAAGGAAATCAGGGTAACACCTGGGTATAAGGTGCAGACGAAGTGCAAGACATAAGTACTTGGCGTACCAGGTGAGGAAAAATAACAGAGTACGAGGTGCAGACGAAGTGCAAGACACAAGTACTCTGAAATGTTGTGGAAGAGAGTAGATAGGTTTTTAAAAGGAATAAACAAAGACTTTACTTTAAACAGTAAGCCGGACAGCGACAACCGAGTACTGAGACTGATGAATGACACAAGGCACTGGAGTCGACTGACCACGATGGTCAGGTCTATTGGGTTTTTATAATAATTAGAACTATTGCCAATTTGGCAATAAATATTATTTATTAATTCATCAGTCTCAGGCAGCGGATGTGCTGTCTGTATTTTATTGAAATAATTCTCACGATTATGAAAACGTGACACCATCACAAAATATTTTTTTCAAAATAAAGTATATTATATTATCTTTAATTTAAGATATATATATAAGAGTGTCAAACTTTCCGGAACACTTTCATAAGTTAAGTGTAAAATTTTTTGTGAAAAAGTTGTCATTTTAAATACCCTTTGTGAGCAGATAAAGGGTCAGCTTTATAATAAAAATATACCAAATGGTAGGTAAAGACATCAAGCATCTATAAAAAAAAAAAAATTTACTGAATCATACATTTTCCAAAAAGTTAAAGCATTAGTAAGTTAAAAATATAGAAAAGAATTTTTTTACAAAAATCGTAATTTTTTATTAACTTTGATGTCTATTTTAACCACGAAGATAAGTTCAGAAGTCAAATTTTTTTTTTCCATAATAAAGTATATAACATTACCTTCAATTTAAGATATATATAAAAGTGTCAGACCTTCCGGAACACTTTCAAAAGTTAAGTTGAAAAAGTTCTACTTTCTATATGCATTTTTCAGAATTGAATACCCACCGTATATAAGGAAATAGTCTGATTTAAAAAAAAAGTATGTCGAATGAAAGAGGTATATAAATATTAGTTCTTATAAAAAAATTGTATTGATCTATACATTTTTCAAAAAGTTATAACATTTTAAAGTTAAAATGTAAAATATAAAATCGAGAATTTTCACACAAAAATAGCATTAGGTAACTATTTTCACCGTAAAAACAAAATAAAGTCCGAATTTTTTTTTTCCATAATAAAGTACATTACATTAGGTTTAATTTAAGATATATATAAAAGTGTCAGATCTTCCGGAACATTTTCAAAAGTTAATTTTTTGTGAAAAAATTGTCATTTTAAAGCCCTTGCTGTGGGCAAGTAAAGGGTCAAATTTATAAAAAAATATACCAAATGAAAGGTAATGATATCATGCATCTATATAAAAAGATTTCGAAAATTAAAGCATCGAAGCTAAAATTATGTATTGCATACACATTATAGTAATTGATATTTTAAAATATTTAAAGTGCATTATTTTGGATATATTTTCTCAAGTATTTAATAAATTTGCTAAAAAAACTTTCTAATTTTTATTAGAAAAAGAATATTAGATAGTATTTTACTTTACCTAACAGATCGTCGATATGCTAGTTTAAAATAAAAAAATAATAATATTTAACAATGATTACCATCGTTATAATTATATTCTTTATACGAGTAAATGGGATTTTACTAAATATTTAATCATAGCGAATGAAGTGTCATTACTATTTCAATTATTTAAGTTATAGGATAAAGCTTCTTAACGTATAGAAATGTATACATTTAAGAAGCCATAGAAACACAATTATGCTTTTAAGAAACCATAGAAATGCAATAAGGCTTTTAAGAAGCCATAAAAATGCGTACATTTTTGAAAGCCGTAGAAATGCAATAACAAATTTTAAGAAGCCATAAAAATGCGTACATTTTTGGAAGCCGTAGAAATGCAATAACAAATTTTAAGATGCCACTAAAATGCATACATTTTTGGAAGCTGTAGAAATGCAATAACAAGTTTTAAGAAGCCATAAAAATGCATACATTTTTGGAAGCCGTAGAAATGCAATAACAAATTTTAAGAAGCCATAAAAATGCATACATTTTTGGAAGCTGTAGAAATGCAAAAATTTTTCATTTTTGGTTTAAATTGTAACTATTATTAGGATGAATATTATATTATTCTATAAATAGAAAATATATGTAATATATTATAGATTAGAACGCATTTTAGCTTCGATGTGAACCGATTTTTTTGGTCTATGATTATAAAGAACTCTTGTTTTAATCTAGTAGAATTTAGCTTCACTAAAAATAAAAAAAAATTCCTCTCATTTTTAAAAATTGTAAAAAAATAATTCAAAATTATGCTAAGTAACAAATGGCATTTTTAAAGTTTAATTTCTATATTTCAAAACTTCTATAACTTTTATTTTTAAATGCTATTCCAAATGAAATTTTAATAGAGTATGCTAGAATAATAAGCTTTCTTTTGGTATGCTTTTTGTAAATACTCAAGTATGAGTAGCGACCACCCTTTTATGAAAACAATTTCTTTAATTCGTGTTTTTGTATGCACTATTCAATAATTGTAAACAAAATGTTAAGTAGTAACAACACAAAAAAAAAATTGAAATAAATTTTATTAAATACCACTTTTGTTTCATACATATTATTCATGAATAAACATATACATAGATAATTCTAATCATTACTTTATTCGTTCCTTGTCATTTTTCTTTGGAATTACAATTAAACTTTACACACACTTTTTTACTGATCTTTGATTCTTAATAATTGTTTAAAATATTTTAGTCAATTTTCTAATTCAAACTTTTTTTTAGTCAATACTATAATATTTTAAAAATATAAACCATCAAACGTCGCCTTAAAATAATTATTTTCTAATTATGAGTCATCCTTTATGTTAACTTATAACTTCTATTTTTTGTTTGTTTATTCTTTCATTAAATATTGGTAACTTATTTGTATTTTACTTGTTAAATGTAAGAGTGTTTATAAAATAATAGTAAAAATTTATCACCATAAAATAACTTTACAATCTTCTTGTTATATATGTTTAGGTTTATCAATTTTTACTGAAATAATTAGTAATTTTTCTTTTTGTACTACAATAATTTAGAGATAAGAGACGATCAATATACAAATTAAAAAATATTTTGAATCTTACCACTATAAAACTTTTTTTTTGCGAAAAATATGTTAGTGTCCTCTAAATAATTCATATATTTTTGTTTATATTATTTTCACTATTGTAATTCTTAACAATTGAAACAATTGTGTAAAGAAATTCTGTGAAATATTATTTGGATCAAAAGTTATAAGAGTTTTTAATTAGATTTGAATAACTCTGTATAGAAATAAATAAAACAACAAGAAAATAAATCATAATAAAGCTCTTCTTAGTACCAAAAACAAAAAAAGTGTTGTTTAAAAATTGTTAAAAGAGGCGTGACTGAAAACTTACTCTTTTTAACACAAATAATATGTAACTAGCCTGAATTATATTGATGTCATTTTTTAAAAAAATTATATGTTAATTTTAGAAATTTCAGGAGAATAAAATCAAATTTTCAAAATTCCAATGTTGTTTTATGCAAATTTTTATTTTTGAAGTGCAAAAATCATACCATACCGATAAAATAAGCACACTAGTTTTGGAAGATTAATGATAACACCTTCTATTACACATATAATTAAATCAAAATTGTTTTAGTCAAAAGAAAATAAACTACTACCCTTATATCTAGGGCGAATTATAAACTTCAAACTTGTAGAATAAATGAGGATATGGCTTATTTTATTTTTAGTGTACCCTCGATAGATAATATAATTTGTTATTATGAAATGTCAAATTTGGTAAATATTTTTAAGAAAAAATTTAATACTTAAACAAGTTTATTGATTTCAAACGTTCAAATTTATTAGAAACTGTTAAATACATTAAATCCT